TACAATTGGTTATGATTTATTGTAGTGATTTTTGTTATGATCAAAATTTATTTTGTTATATCTCGAGATAATGTTAATTATGAGTCAATCTAATTATAATCAATGATTCAAATTAATTTTTTCATATATAATGACTAAAATTAGAGATGATATGATGTAATATGTATCTTTTTATGAATTTGTAATAAATTTTACCTAATGAAATACAATTTATAATTTATAGAAGTTTATCTAAGATAAAAATAAAAAATGATGCAGGCTTAAAAGTGGGTCACACTTATTTTTAGATAACAACTTTGCTTCGATGAGTCGTCAACTCTAGAAATGGAAGTTTCAATTATGAATTTTTTCAGTCATTTAGTAGCTCTTATTTCAACATTTTCACATTTATTGTGCCTGTGGTGTAATTAAGGTTAATATAATTTTAGAATAAACTATCACTAATTATTAGACGGGATTTATCACAATGGCTAATAAAATCAAGCAACATTCAATAATATTTTGACTCAAATGGGGAGAACACTAACAAATTTTGTATACTTTCCTCCGAGTAATTTATATGTTTGTGACAAATTATTATGTTGCTACAAACCTTACCCTTAATAATTGTATATTTGTTATCCTTACGACGAACCTATTACCTCCACTGTCAATAACTAATTTGTGACCTCACAATCATTTATTGTCCATTTTTATACAATATTATCAAACTAATGATGTGATAAAGCCTTAATCTGGTATTTAACAGTTTGTGAAACATAATGCCGACGATGATTAATGTTAACAAACCAGAGCAAAGTCAACCTATTATTATTTTTTAAAATTTATTGCAAACAATTAAAATGTAAAATATATGTATTTTTAAAATGATTAAATAAATACACAAAAAATATTAAAAAATTTGAATACTTTTTAAGTATATATACAGATCAAATGTATCTAATAAGTAAAAAATTAATTAAAATATTTTAAAAATATTAAAAAAATATGGATTAAAAATTAAAAAAATTATTTGTGATTCAAAATCAAACATAGTGAATATTTATTATTATTATTTTGGACAAATTACAATTACACTCATAAAATTTGTTTAAAAGGCGATTTGATCTTGTTATTTTCGAAAATAATACCCCATTGTTAGAAATTTTTTATTTAACAATTTTTTATTTAAAAAAAATTATAACTACTCTCCTAAACAATAATAAAATTAGATTAATTGTTAATTAAAATATATTTATGATATCATTAAAAATTGTTAATTGAGTTGATAATTTATTAATGAAATGAGCTATTTGTTATGCAATTATAAACTTGAATGGGCATGATGTAATTTTAAAATTACAGGAGGCAATTTATATTTTAAGTAAATCTCAAGGATATATTTATAATTTACCTTATTTTTCTTTTAAGAGCATTATTATTCTAACAAAAAATTATGCTTACTTTTCAAACCCTGATGATATAACAACCAATTAGAATATCTAAGACATCTATCTCATATCTTTTCTAATCATTAATAAATATATAATTTTTTTTTATTTCGAGATTTTTTGGGATAATTTAAACAAAGTGCATGTTTTGATTTTTTATAAAAATATATAAAGAAAATAAAAGATTTGATATGACTCAAATAAGTACTTATTTAGAGATGCCAAACCACCCCTTAAAACTAATAGAGTAGTCAAAGTCGGCTCATTGCTAAGCTGCTGTTTGGCAAGTAAGTTGAGATTAAAAAAGTACAAAAAAATGAAATAACCTAAATAAATTAATAATATAAAATGTCACATTCAAATTATATTTTATTTATTCCTTTATAAAAAAGTAAAAAAATTAAAAAAATTCTTTCCAAATAAAATTAATTTAACCAGACTAAATTAGTAAAAACACTAACAACTGTTGCGAAAAAAAAATAAAGTTTTTGGTTTTAGTTTTTTTAATTCAATTTTTTGAAAGCTGATGCTCTGTTTGAAAGAGTTTTCAAAATGTATTTTTGCCTCTTAATTTGCGCGTGATGTTTGGTTACCGTTTTCAAAAATTAATTTCACATCCACTTTTGAAAACTCTGTCGAAGGCAGAAAAATTTGGGTTAACCGATTGTCCCCCGGATGTTCGGCCGGTCGTCCTCCCAGACATCCGGCCGATTAACCAGTACAATGCAATATATATATATATATATTTTTTAGTTGACACCTGCTATTTTTTATAGGGAGCTTTTTTGATAGACCCACTTTCTAAGAACTTTATTCCATCCAACCCATATTCTTTTTTACTATTCCATTAAGTCCTATTTGAGATAAGAAGACCAAAATACCCTTTTCATCTACTTATATTCCATTTAGTTCACATTATTTTCTTATGTTTCAATAAGTCCTATGGGTGACATTACTACCAAAATACTCCTTATGTGAATGTTCACACTATCAATGTGAATGTTCATATCGTTAATGTGTAGGGGCCAGGCTCATGTCGATTCTCGTGGGTGCCGGGAAAAATTCGAGTCGGGCCAGGCCGAGACGAGCCCATTGACAATGTGAATATTCACATTGATATGTTAACATTCACATTAATAAGAGTGTAAAATTGACCCGCATCCCGTGGCGGCGCGAAACCCGCCCACGATCTATGGGCGGCCCTGGGCGGGCCCGGTCCGGCCCGTTGACAATGTGAATATTCACATTGACATGTTAACATTCATATTGATAGGAGTGTAAAATTAGCCCGCGCCTCGTGGCTGCCCGAAACCCGCCCACGACCCGTGGGCGGCCCGGGACGGGCCCGACCCGGCCTGTTGACAATGTTAATATTCACATTGACATGTTAACATTCACATTGATAAGAGTATAAAATTGGCCAGCAGCCCATGGTGGGCTCGGCTCGGCCTGGCCTGTTGACAATGTGAATATTCACATTGATATGTTAACATTCACATTGATAAAAGTGTAAAATTAACCCGTGCCTCATGGCTGCCCGAAACCCGCCCACGGCCAGTGGGTGGCCCCTGGCGGGCTCGGTCCGGCCTATTGACAATGTGAATATTCACATTGACATGTTAACATTCACATTGATAAAAGTATAAAATTGGCCAGCGGCCCAAGGCGGGCCCGGCCCGGCCCGGCCTATTGACAATGTGAATATCCACATTGACATGTTAACATTCACATTGATAAAAGTGTAAAATTAGCCCTAGACCGTTGGCTAATTTTATACTCTTATCAATGTGAATATTCACATTGTCAACAGGCCGTGCCGGGCCCGCCCTAGGTCGCCTATGGGCCGTGGGCGGGTTTCGGGCAGCCACGAAGCGCGGGCTAATTTTACACTTCTATCAATGTGAATGTTAACATGTCAATATAAATATTAACATTGTTAACGGGTCAAGCCGGGCCTGTCCCGGGCGGCGGACGGGCTTTTGGCAGCCCATGGGCTGCGGGCCAATTTTATACTCTTATCAATGTGAATGTTAACATGTCAATGTGAATATTCACATTGTCAACAGGCCGGGCTGAGCCCGCCCCGGGCCGCCCATGGGCCGTAGGCGAGTTTCGGGCAGCCACGAGGCGCAGGCTAATTTTACACTCCTATCCATGTGAATGTTAACATGTCAATGTGAATATTCACATTGTCAACGGGCCGGGTCGGGCCTGCCCTGGGCCGCTGGGCAATTTTATACTCTTATCAATGTAAATGTTAATATGCTAATGTGAATATTCACATTGTCAACAGGCCGGGCCGGGCCCGCCCATGGGCCGTGAGCGGGTTTCGGGCAGCCATGAGCGCGCGGGCTAATTTTACACTTCTATCCATGTGAATGTTAACATGTCAAAGTGAATATTCACATTGTCACGGGCCGGGCCGGGCCCGCCCCGAGCGGCGGGCAGGCTTTTGGCCACCCATGAGCCGCGGGCCAATTTTATACTCTTATCAATGTGAATGTTAACATATCAATGTGAATATTCACATTGTCAACGGGCCGGGCCCGCCCTCGCTCGCGGGCAAGTTTCGGGCCGCCCACGTGCCAATTTTACATTCCTACCAATGTGAATTTTAAAATATAAACGATCACATCATAAAATTGCTAACCGTTCAAAAAATATTTATAAGGGTATCAAAATTAAATATAAGGGCATAAGTGTCAAAGAAAATAGTGTAAATTAAGAAAAAGGACTTTATGGAATAAAACTATACATACATGGGACTAAATGGGTTAAAAAATTCCTTCATGGATTTCTTGGGTTAAAACACTTCTAAATGAGATTTATCAATAATTTGCCCTTTTTTATATTTTGAATAAAAAAATTTCGAATTTTATTTTTTTTAATGAGTTTTAAATAGAATTTTAAGTTATATGTTTGGTTATGAGTTATAATTTTTTTGTATCAAATATCACATGTTATATCAAAAATTTCTCACTCAATCCAAAACTCTTTTCAAAACTCTTTCACCAAACAAATTTTTCACATTCAAATCATAATTTCAAAACTCACAAACTCAAAATACAACTCCTATTTTCAAATCATATTTAGAAAACTCTACCAAATGCTATCATCATATTTAGAAAACTTTACCAAATGCTATCTGAGTTTTTTTTTATTTTTAATATTTTTTTTGTTTTTAGTAAATATTTTTTAAAATTTTAAGTAATTTTTTTACTTTTTTAGATACATCTTATTTAGATATATCTAAATAATAAAATATTTGTAAAAAAATATTTTAAAAAATTAATAAATACATAAAAATATGAAAAATATACTGAAATTTTATATTTTTTGGTATTTAATATATTTTTTTAAATTTTTTTTCACAAATATTATACTTTCAAGTATATTCATTTTAGGTGTATTTAAAAATAAAAAAATTACTTAAAATATTAAAAAAATTATTAAAAATATTAAAATGCAAAAAATAAAAAATATATTTTTTTAAAATTTATTTATTTTTAAAAATTATAACCAAACAAACTGAATAACCCAAACCAACCCCGAGTTGGTTTTAAACACAAATCAAACATTCTCCTACTATTATATGCCTTTCTAGGGCTCATATTTGATAGATCGATTTGCCTGGGCGTCAGGCTTCCAGTATCCGCCGTGCCTCTCTCTATGTGCTTCTGACACAGTTTCCTTTTTGTCCGTCAGCTCTCCGGCGATACTCCGACGAGGTAACGAACTTCTCAATCTCCACCAATTTCTGAACAATATCATCTGGATCAAATCAAATGAAATCGTTCTCAATTCGAATTCAAAATTTGGACCATTTCTCAATTTGCTTCATAAAAAATTCGAATTCAAAATTTGCTTCTCAATTGTGCTGTCGTTATTATGTTCTTCATATTGTTGGTGGGTGAATCTGATAAATTGTAATCAATTACAGAGAAATTGACTCATGAAAGGTTATTATATTTTTCTCTATTTTTCCTACGAATTGAATCACCTGATGTTATTTTCCGCAAGAAAGACTATTGCCAGATTTCGTTGCATTTATTTATTTCCTAAATTTTCAGGTGCCATTTAACAACCTTTACAGAGAACAGAAAACATGTTTATGTTTATTTTGGGTAAAAGCAAAAAATAAAAAAAATAAAAAAAAAGGAAAAATTTGGTACACAAGTAATTTAAAAAAAATTGTTGTATAAACAAGTGAAAAGGGGTGCCTGCTGGAGGAGACGGTTGGAGATGGTGACCGAATGTGGTTGTCAACCGCAGGAGGTAGTGGCTGAAAGTGGTTGCTACCGGTGAGAGGTGGTTGGCGGTGGCTGGAGGTTGTTGTTGGCCATGGTAAGTGGTGGCTGAAAGTAATGGTTGGAGATTGTGGCCAGTCGGCCACCTAAGGTGGTAGCTGAAGGTCGTTTTCAAGAAAAAGGGGTGGCCTGTGGTGGTTACTGCCGGTGGGAGGTGGTTGGCTGCTGTGATAGGTGGTTGGCAGCCAAGGGAGGTGGTGTTTTGAGGAGGTCATTGGCAATGGTAGCCGATAGTGATGAGCAATGGGTGTGGTCAGAAAGGATGGGGGAAAGAGGAAAAAATGAAAAAAAAAAAAATTCAACAAATGAAACCGAACTAGTTTATGTTTATAGTTTTCAAAATTTTTGTAAATGTAAAGAGGAAATTATAAATATAAATGTTACCAAACAGGCCCAGTGTATGCAAATGTATTTTAACTGAATGTGTTCTAAGCAGGATACTTTTGAGCATTTATCTTCAACTTTGTTACTTTTTCAATTGCATTCTTTATATGTTTTATGGTCTATAATTATACATAAATGGCTAAGCAAAGATGAGATCAATTATATTCATAGTTAGTTTCTTTTTAAATGTTTTCTTTTGCTTTGGATGGGAGGGGGAATTAAAAGCAAAGAACATAAATTATATATGGAGAATACTTAACACCAATGGATTTTTACCAGTGGGATTTCATTGTTGAAGCTGAGGTTGGAATGGCTGATAGGATCAAAAGAGGTAGGAATGGCTGTTAGCAGACATCCACTACTTTTTACTCATTAGAGTAAACTCTCTAGATAACCCAGTCACCACTGCAATCATTCAAGTTATTATTGAATGAAACTTTCATTTTTTACTATATTTCAGGGTGGGTTGATAAGGCCTTGACTAAATTTTCTTTAATTGTTTCACATACTTGTGGGTGGTACTTTGCGAGCTGTGCAGTCATTTTTTTTTTGGCTGCTATTCATTGTAATGGCTGATATAAGTAAAGAACTATCCAATTTTTTGAATATTAATTATATTACATCGCATTTTTGCAATTTTTTTTCCTTTCATCTAATAATATATGCCCCAATAATTTTCGCATGTTATTTCAGGAATTTACAATGGCATATCGTAATGTGGATATTGATATACCTCTAATAATGTAGAATCATGTAGCTTCCGCTTGATCTTGTTACTCCATTTTGTGCTTGTTACTAGAGTACTTTTTTTAAAACTGATGTAAGAGTAGAAAACAAAGTCCTATGCATGCATTTGTAGTCCTTTATTTTCCTAATCCCTGTTCTTTGTGGGTAAATGATGTGCTTCTATTGGGTTCATACACACAGATTTGAAATGCAGGTATCCTAATTGAATTAATTTCTTCGGGAGTTCACACAATTGGTCTTCTAGAACTCTATTGAATATGGCTGCTTCAGAAGAAAACAGTGCGCTCTTTCCAATATTCATCTTGACTATAATAGCTCTGCCATTAGTACCTTACACAATAGTCAAGTTATTCTCTGCTGCATCTAAAAAGACAAAGAGCATACACTGTGAGTGTTCGGTTTGCTTTCGCTCTGGGAAGTACCGCAAATCCATATTTAAACGTGTAAGTTTCTCATCCAACTTATTATTTGAATTACATTGTGATTTTTTTTGTTGTATTCTAATTCTTTTGGTTTCTTTTTCAGTTATCGAACTTTTCAACATGTAGCAACTTATCGCTTGTGCTGCTTTGGGTCGTCATGGCAGTCTTGGTTTATTACATCAAACATATTAGCCATGAGGTAATCTGTATATAATTGCTTGGTACTCCATTGTCGGGGTTAGCTTTGGTAGCAAGGACTTTAATCTGCCTTTACTGTGAATCTGTGATAATGTAAGAATGGAATCTAGAGGCCATGCTTGGTTTGATTTTCAAAAACTTGTTTCAGAATTTTTTTTCTTAAAAACTAAAAATTAATTTGACGAAAGAAATTAAAAAATACAAAACATTTATTATTTTTACATAATTTTATCTTCTGGGTCGCTAGAAATAATTTTTAAAATTTTTAATATATTTTTTGATATTTATTTTTATCGAATTAGATTTCAATTTATCAAAAAATTTCTGATTTTTTTTTTCCCCCCCTCTTAAGAACAAACCAAACAAGGCCAGAAAGTTTCCCTTGAACAGTGACATACGTATATATAAGTATTCTGTTCTTGTGGCATTGGGTTTAATTCTTCGTAAATGTTCTTTAAGTACTTGCTGAAGATCGAAGTTGGCTTCTGTTCGATATGTCACACCTTTACCAAAAATCTGTTATTGTTTAATTTGTTCCTCATAAAGGAAATAATCTGTTGCTTGTTTTCTTATTCTTCAGATCCAAGTGTTTGAGCCATTCAGTATTCTTGGATTAGAACCTGGAGTTTCGGACTCAGAAATAAAGAAGGCATATAGGAGACTTTCCATCCAATACCATCCCGATAAAAATCCAGATCCAGGTTGAAGGTGTTTCATATCATTGTATTGTTCTTTTTTTCCGCCCCATCGACTTGGGTATAAATTTGATGCTTCTCGGTGCTGGCATATTCTTATTTACTTAATTCTCCTTTTCTCCTAGAGGCCCACACATATTTTGTGGAATACATATCAAAGGCTTATCAGGCTCTGACAGATCCAGTATCACGAGAGAACTTTGAGAAATATGGACATCCAGATGGCAGGCAGGTAGTGTTATTGGGGAGGGGAGAACTCATTTGCTTCGATTTTAAGAGAGTTAACGTGAGCCTGAATCAGTTTCACATTTTTGTCTGAGTCAGGGGCTTCAAATGGGAATAGCTCTTCCTCAGTTTCTGCTGAACATTGATGGAGCATCTGGCGGTGTACTATTACTCGGGATTGTTGGAGTTTGTATTCTTTTGCCCTTGATGATGGCTGTTATATATTTGTCAAGGTCTTCAAAATATACTGGAAATTATGTCATGCATCAGACGATGTCCACATATTACTACTTAATGAAGCCTTCTTTAGCGCCAAGGTATACTTTTCCTTTGGCTGATTTGGTATTTTAATTGCAACATAGTTTGAATTTCTTCTTCTATGAAAACCTGATTATTATGATGTCTTTGTTGCATGTGTAGTGATGTATCAATTATGGAATGACACTGCAATTTTAAATGTTCTTTATAATGTTAAGAAGGCACAACTATTTGTTTCTTCACATATGCAAACTGTGTTTTGCAAGCCTCACTAGGTGGCAGAACACAATTAACTTTATCATTCAAACAAATTTTTATTTTTTTTTTGTGTGTGTGTTTGTGTGTGTATATTTTATTATTATTATTTCATTTCCCTTATTTCACGTGGTCAAATAAATCTTTGTAACTTAACTTCTTCACCCCCTATGGATGGAAGAAAGAAGAAACTGCATTTTTGTGTAAGTTGCAATGGAGATATTCTTTACGGGCAATGGAGCTAGTTTATTTGTAACAGTCAGTATGCATTACTTTGTTCTTCTCTGTGTTTCTGTCCTAACACTACGTTAGTGATACAGCAAGGTCATGGATGTTTTCATAAAGGGTGCAGAATATGTGGAAATTCCTGTTCGCCGGAGTGATGAGGAACCCCTTCAGAAGCTTTTTTTGTTAGTCAGGAGTGAGTTAAACTTGGACCTAAAAAACATAAAGCAAGAGCAAGCTAAGTTTTGGAAGCAGCATCCAGCCATAGTTAAGGTGATGTGCTATTTTTTTTATTGTGTCAAGCACTATACGTTTTGGGGTCCTCACATGTTTTTTTGATAATCCTGTACCCAATTATTTTATCGCAAGCAGACGGAATTGTTGATTCAAGCGCAATTGACCCGTGAGTCAGGAGCATTATCTCCGGCTTTGCTGCGTGATTTTAGACGCATGCTTGAACTAGCACCTCGCCTTCTTGATGAACTAATGAAGGTGATAAACTCTGCCCTCAGTTTCTGCAGCAATTAACTTGTGGTGACGAGTTAGTCTGCTTGCAAGAGGCTGCTTGTTTTTGAAGTTTTTATCTTGCAAATGCAGACGCAATTCTGTATCTTGGGTTGGTGAATATAATTTGCTGTAACGGTAGTAATTGCAATTTTTCTGGGAGTCCAAATGATGTGTTTAAAGGCCAACAGATGAATCTTAAAAAAAAAAAAAATTGGCAGCTTATTTTGTCTCCAAAAAGTTGAAGAAGCTGTTGTGAGAGTTGCTACCCTGTCTTGAGTTGTGCCTGATTGTTGATTTTTATGGAAGAGTTGGCAGCGATGTATTGATTATCCTTTTAGGTTGACAATTAGTATAGAAAGTTTTGCTTTCAATAAATTAAAGACAATTCCAATCCACTTACTGTTTTTCACTAACCTACGAATGGCCTAGGTTTCCTGGGTTGGGCTACAAGTTTTTGCTTAGGTGCTATCGTCCATGCTACCCAATTGCCTCTAAATAAGCAGGCCATAAGATGAACTGAGCTGCTTTGAGAAGCTCTAGCTTCGGTTTGTTTAGAGCTTTGCCAAACTTGTATTATGTCAAATACATGAACCTCAAGCCTAGACTCCAAGCTTCTTTGTTCAATATGTGAGCTTGATCAACGTGTAGCTTGGCTCTTAAGGCCCATTAACATATGGGTCTGTGAGATAACACCTAAAGGAAATCTCGTGCAAAAGTGAATCGGTATCATATGAGAGGGGCACTGTCAGAGTGCAAATTTGCTTAGGTGCTATCGTCCATGCTACCCAATTGCCTCTAAATAAGCAGACCATAAGATGAACTGAGCTGCTTTGAGAAGCTCTAGCTTCGGTTTGTTTAGGGCTTTGCCAAACTTGTATTATGTCAAATACATGAACCTCAAGCCTAGACTCCAAGCTTCTTTGTTCAATAGGTGAGCTTGATCAACGTGTAGCTTGGCTCTTAAGGCCCATTAACATATGGGTCTGTGAGATAACACCTAAAGGAAATCTCGTGCAAAAGTGAATCGGTATCATATGAGAGGGGCACTGTCAGAGTGCAAAGGTGTTCATGCTTCGAGTAATAATAATTTAAGTCACTTCAGGGGAGCTAGTTGTAACCCTCCATTAACTTAGCTTATATGGTGATAGGGAAATCTCAAAGTTGTTTTTAATTATAATAAATGGAAAATGCAAATCCCATATAGCCTTACACTAACTGTTTAATTTCATAAACAATAGTGATGCTGCCACTTGAAGTCTTTGACCAATGCTTATCGACTGTTATTCTTATTCTGGGCACCAACTTTTTCCAAATATTTATGAAATATATACCAAATTATGGGTTTCATCTTTTTGGTTGAGAATCAAAGGCATGCCAAAAAAAGGCCGAGAAGTAAAAATAGTGCACTCCCCTGTTAGTTTACCTGTCCCAGCACTGGACCTGTTGCACTTGCTGGTTCTCATAGAAGTAAAAATCTTCTGAGAGGAAGAAGCCTTACAATTTTCTTAATTTAAGATCATGTTGCTCAAATGAAAATAATTAGGCATGCAAAACTAAGTAAAACTAAGTTGGTGACATATGTTGTATGTGCCATCATATGATCGCATCCTCTTTTATAATGCGTTAATTTGTTTTTATTTCTTTTGCTGTCACCATTCCTATTGCTTTCTCCTTCAAGTTGAGATAATTTACAGATACTTTGTGCGTGTAGATGGCAATTATACCACGCACTCAGCAAGGACATGGATGGTTGAGGCCTGCCATCGGAGTGGTTGAGCTTTCTCAAAGTATAATTCAGGTGTCTGATCACTGAAATCTCATTCTGCTATAATATTTTTTTGGCTTTCCTGGGTGTGTCATTGTATTGTTTGCTGTCTTTCTTATTTATTTATTTATTATTATTATTTTGCTAATTTACATAGCCGTGCACATTTATGCTTGTACCAATTTAGAGGGTGACTGGACACTGTACAGAAATGGAACTCCTCTGTTTTATTTTTTTTCTGTAACATTTTAAATGAAATCTATGGCCTTGTTTGGTTTGTGTTTCCCAAAAATTTTTGAGAAAAATTCTCTACAAATAAGTTTTCAAAAGTAATCAAACCAAACAAATTTTCCCAAAACAATTTTCCAAAACTTGTTTGGTTTACAAGTTTTCCAAACAAATCTCTCTCTCATACACATCAAATCAATCACTTTTTCCAAAACTCTCTCAAAATAATTTTCCAAAACATCTTTTGAAAAAAACCAAACCAAACAACTTTTCGTACTTTTTATCTCCCAAACTCAAACCAAACATACCCTATATCTGTTACATTTTAAATATGCTGAATGTTTGATTTTAAATTATTTTTTACAGTATTTTGGAGTGATGCTTTTGTCTAATACAAACATATTTACGCATGTCACTCACATTATATATATATACACGTTAAAACATAAGCTCGTAATGTGAAATATCAATTTTTTTGACCTTACATTTGGTGGTATCTAACTTCGTAAGGCAAGGCGACTGAGGTGATTTAAACCATTTTTCCGATGAATGAATTACTACTTCATCCTCATCTTTGAATCAATTTATTTATGAACAACCATCAATATTGAGTGCGCGAGAATCTAAATATGCCTATTAATTGGTAATTAAGGTTCTAGTTCCATTTTAGATTTCTTTACCTTGTCCCTTGTATTCTAAGAAGCATGGACACGGACACGTGACACGATATGGACGTGACACGATACGGATATGACACGGACATGCCGAAACGTTAATTTTAAAAAAATGACGGACACGACACGTGGGGGACACGCATGAAATATGTTATTTTATATATTTATTTTATGTTATATATATGAATATATCATTCAAAGATAATAAAAAATATAATATGACATTAATTCCTATAAATTTATATGATTTTTGTTTTATTATTGTATTTTGAGTAGTTTTGTTTGAACTTATAATTAGTTTCACATGTGTCCAATCGATAGACACTTGTTTATGCGATTGACACGTGTGTCCTCCAAGTGTCCAGAGAGCGTCCGGGTCTTTAAAAAAATTTAAAAAATAAGACACGTTTTGAAGAGTGTCGGACACGTGTCCTAGGAGTGTCCAAAGAGGGTCGGTGTCCGACACAGACACGACACGACACGGATATGTCACCTTCTTAGCTTGTATTGAAGATGAGGTTGGTTATTCCTGATTTTGACACTTGCCATAAATGCTTTTTAAATTTGTGATGCAGGCAGTTCCACTCAGTGCACGAAAAGCATCTGGGGTGTCCAGTGAAGGAATTGCTCCCTTTCTGCAGTTGCCACACTTCAGTGAGGCTGTTGTCAAGAAGATTGCACGAAAGGTAAAAAATCTTTTCTAACAGTGCATTGCTTTGTCATTGGTCTATCATTTTGAATCCCATTCCCTGATTGCATGCTGACCATGCAATCACTAGTCTGGTTCAGTCACAAAAGAACATTCATTTACTTGCTTCAGCTATGTTTGGGTTGAGAATTTGGAATGTTGCTCCAATTTACTTTCTAAGAAGAGAACACTACGTCACTACTCACTACCAATGATGCTGCTTTTTAAAATGGCTCTGAACCAGAGTCGTTTAGGTCTGCAATGCAGAAACTTGTAAAATCCGATTGTTCTCTGCATATTGATGTTAACAAGATAGGTACTGATTTGTTCAACCAACATACATGGTTGAGCAAACTACATATGGATTGTGCTAAAACAAATTATATTGCTAAACTGTAGATTGTATGTTATTGACTTATCATAAACTGAGACACCTATTCCAAGGAACAGTAGCGCAATATCTTATGCTCTAGAGTCTCTAACCCATAAATGAACTCAGCACCGTGGTTTTGCATATTGATGAGTGCATGAGAGACCCTAAAAATCACGAGCATGCTCACGCCAGGGAATTTATCTAATGTACTAAGTTTTTTTCCTCCCATATTTTATTCATTAAACATGTTGATTCAAATGGGCTGTCCACATTTTCCCCTCTCTTTTCATTGACTGATTAAAATCTGTGTGGTTCATATGGTAACCTGAGATTACCTTCATACCATCATTTTCTTTATGTGCGCTGAGAGAAAAAGTGAGAAAGGGCTTTTTCAGAAAAACCGAGATTGAGTGCCAGAGTGGCGTGAGAATCACATGGTCTGTTGCCATCCTACTATGGAACTCAACATCCAGTCTCTCTTCACGTTTTATTACTGGCTTTGTCTAGATGTTGATTGTAACCTTTTGGATTTTTGTTATGTAATGCAGAAAGTGAGGACATTTCAAGACCTTCGAGACATGACCCCACAGGATCGTGCTGAACTGCTGACTCAAGTTGCCAGTTTCTCTTCTGCTGAATCCCAAGACGTAGAAATTGTTCTTGAAATGATGCCTTCCATAACAATCGATGTCACTTGTGAGACGGAAGGCGAAGAGGGAATTCAAGAGGGCGACATCGTAACAATGCACGCTTGGGTCACACTCCAACGTGGGAATGGCCTGATTGGTGCCCTTCCACACGCGCCCTACTTCCCCTTCCCCAAGGAAGAAAATTTCTGGCTCCTACTTGCAGACTCGGTCTCCAATGATGTATGGATGTTTCAGAAGGTTAACTTCATGGACGAAGCTACGGCTATAATCGCTGCATCGAAAGCAATTCAAGAGTCGAAGGAAGGGTCTGGGGCTAGCTTGAAGGAGATAAGTTTGGCTGTTAAAGAAGCAATTGAGAAGGTGAAGAACGGGTCAAGACTGGTAATGGGCAAGTTTCAGGCCCCGGCTGAGGGAAACTACAGCCTGACATGTTTCTGTTTGTGTGACTCTTGGATTGGCTGTGACAAGAAGACAAGCTTGAAGGTGAAAGTTTTGAAACGGAGCCGAGCGGGCACAAGGGGTGGTGCCGTGGTAGAAGAGGGACCGTCAGTCGAGGATGGGGTTGAGGAGGAAGAGGAGGAAGAGGAAGAGGAATACGATGATTATGAGAGCGAATACAGTGAGGATGAAGAGGATGTAAAAGATGTGAAGAGTAAAGGAGCTGTGGCCAATGGCACTGCCCATGGTAAAGAAAATGGCTCGAGCTCGGACAGTTCAGGCGTCGAGGACGAGTAAAAGCATCATTTATTTTTTGTTTTCTTATGTTCATTTTTGAGAGAGAGAGAGATGGGATGAGTGAGGGCTGAACTTTCATATTGCACCCATCCAATGATAGTTACATACGTTGCTGAATTTTCAATTTACATGAATAAGATATATGCGTAGTTATATATGCTCGAGGGCTTAAAATAAATAGGGTCAAATTTCGACTTAATTCATTGTGATTTGGTCTATATGTGAATCCCTGTGGTTTGTGGACTATTTAAAAAGTTTTATGCCTTCTGCTTTTCAGACTGTTTTACCTGAACTTTAAAGGGAAAATTGCAAATCAATCTCGGACAGTGAAAGAATTTTGCATTTTCATAGTGGTACAAATTTGTTGTGTACATGGTGCAAGTTTTTATGTGTTTGGTGCAAATCGTTTGTGTTTGTCAGAGTTGTACCAAAAAAGATTCCATCTATATAGTGTGCAATAAATTTTTTAGTCTCATTGATTTGTAATTTCTCTGACTTTAAACCTTGATTTGTTTCTATTAACAATTGATTTTATGAGAGCATTTGATTATGGCCTGGTTTGGGAAGATTAAATAAGTGTATTTTTTGACTTTTTATGAAATATGGGTTGAGTTTGGGTTGGGTTTGAAGTGATGTGTTAGAGAGGTGATGTGACTTAAATAAAATGATGTGACTTAAATAGGATAGTGATTTTTTGATTTTTTTCAATCATGTCAAACTTGGCCTAAATATATTAATGATTGAGGAGAGAAGTACTAATAAGGGGTAGTTTGTTTTAATATGTATAAAAAACAATTTAATAGGAGATCATTTTGTCTACTAATTTTTAATTTTTAATTTTTAATTCAATTTCATTTTCACTTTTATGTGATATATATACAATACATATTAAAATTATGGGATCCTCTATTGAGTGGGACTTGGGTGAGTACCTAAATAGCTTAATGGTTGCACCGCCACTAAAAAGTAGTATTTAACAGTTTTACAGAACTTGTAGCAATGCATTTTTTAGGAATCTCAAAATGTGTATTTCCTTCATTTAATTGTTAATCGTTTCTTACATCAATGTCTGTAACACTGTAAATTTGACGGAAAAGGAGAAGAAAAATGTTTTCCATGCTTAGTTGTTGCAAGAAAATAAAGCTTCTACAATAAATGTTTCCTCGAAGGAAAATATATTTTCAAATATCTTTTCCCATAAAAAGACATGATTGCAACATGAGAAGGTTCAAATTGTTTTTATATCTAATTTTTTTTGTAATTGAACCATTAATGAAAAAGTAAAGAATTTGTATTTTCTTCCCTATAATTCATTTCTATCATAAAATATTTTCATACACTCCAATATTACAGACAAATGAACCCTTCTTGCATTAAACAAACAATGGTAAACTGACTTTGATAGAATAACACAATCAGTACATAGCACATGAAATAGAAGGGTTGCAAGCAAGACAACAGTGTACTTCAATAAAAATGAAGCATATCTCATATAATTTATGTATCCCACTAACATCATTATTGTATCCTTCAAAAAAAAAAACACTTGAAACAGGCAAAGCCATCACCTAAAGACAACAATAATACAGAAATACATTTGACAGTTCGCCTGGTAGACTCACTTTTATCTCAATTAGCTGAGAAAGAATGCGCTCCAATCCTAACGTATGCGTAGATATAAGGGATTATGCCAATGGACTGCACGCTCGAGGCTATTTTGGTAAAACATCAGTATCACGGACAATTTTCCTCGAGGGCAACACAATTGCAGCCACTGGATTGTTCTCGAACCCGCCACCTTCATCGATAATCAGTCTGAGGCCTTCAATGTGAAGCTTCCCATGGTGGCCACTTACCACAATGGTTGGATACTCGGTCAGTTCCTATAAAATGACAAACACCAAGTATCTAAATTTAATAATATTCCACATTATAATAATGATTAAGAAAAGAAAAGTCACTTAAATGATCAAGAAATACAATTGAATGTTGCTCAACCACAACCAAATCTTTTTGCTAGCACAAAAGTTGCAGTAAAAGAGGCCCATTACCATTAATACATTTTTGTTGTAAAACTTTTTAAAAAATTTCCCAAACTATGAAATTGTGGTTAGTAAATCACGTTTTTCTAATTTTCGATGTTATTAAAACGCGGGCAAAAATGTGATTGCTAATAATGTTTTAATAAGAAGCATTGTTAGCAGCAACTATGCTTTTGCCACACTTCAACTATCAACTGACTTCTACTCTAAATCTAACTTCAAAACAAGAAAAATTAAAAGCTGGGTTACTAAACACGCTTTAAAACACGAGTCTACTAACCATAGCCAGCAAAAGTTTTGCTAGAAAAAGAAAGAGAGAGAGAGAGAGCAGCCGGCAAACTATCACCTTTGGTATATCCCATACGTTTTTCCTCCCGCTGAGAGACTCCACCTTAGGCACCCTGGTGTCCCTCTCTTTCAAAAATTTCATCTGCTCTTCGACCCCTTTGCCTTTTTCCAAGCCAGCATGTACAGCAATCAGTTTACAGTGTTTGATTCCTTCCTCAGTTTCTATACAGACATTGTCCTGAAATAAATAAACGTCACTAAACTTGCTTAGCATTAGCTTAATTTCCTCAAGTAGCAAAAAATTATGAACAAGTTTCTTATCACCAGAACATAATTCAAATTTTCTTCTCACAGGTATACTTCAACTAATGAACCATAAGCTTATTGCACTCATTATTATTCAAGTTAAGGAAGAATAGGACAGAATGGGATACTGACCTCTTCATGGACCCAAACTAGTTCAGCAAGAAACTTCTTGTGTTCATCAGGGACTGCATTAATCAAATCTGTACATAAGAATCAGGGTTTAAATTTAAATTATCACAACGTAAATAACACCAATGAAAACCAAACACCCAAATTGAACTCCTAATCAGACAAAAAAAGTCATTTCACATTCACAGTGGTCGGTTCACTGGAATAAGTTGCAATAGAATGGTCAAAAACCCATTTCCATGTTTGGTTTGGCAAAAAAGAAAAAAACGTACATTCCAAATAGAATCACCAATGAGGCCAAGAAAAAACCGTTCCATTCCTACCCAAAATCATTCCAACGAACCGAACACTATTCACACAAATGACATACTAGAACTCATCTAGAAAAGGATTAAGCAAAAGAAGCCCTACAAAACAGAATCAAAATCATAAAAAACATAACTAAAAATCACCAAAATTAAGAACAAAAAAACCCATTTCAAATTGAACAACCAAAAATTATAACTACTAAATACAAGTACTCAGTAGCATCAAACAACTACTTATCATACTAAATCAAACAAAAGGAACCCATTTAACAATGAACAACCAAGAAATGTTCAAATCAAACACAAGAACTCATTCCCAAGAAGCAAACTAAACAAACAAGCAAAATCCCATTTAACATTACACAAATTTTAAACCCACACTAATCAAAACAACAAATTCGTGACTACTAAATACAATATCATACTAAAATCAAACAAAAGGAACCCATTTAACAATGAAAAACCAAGAAATGTTGAAATCAAACACAATAACACATTCCCAAGAAGCAAACTAATCAAACAAGCAAAACCCATTTAACATTACACAAATTTAATCAAAACCAGCAACAACGATACCAGCAGATCCATGAGGAACACCATACGATGCAAAGGTACTCCCGGCATCGTAAATCGAACCCTTGTACTCAGTCCCCTTCACAGCATTGAATTTAACAGTAATTGACCCAGCCCACCTCCTCCCCTGCAAATGCATATTCTCAAACCCATCACCCTTATACCACCCTTCTCTCTCCTCACTCGCCTCGTACTCCTTCCACGTCTCCGAGAACTCCGACCCGTCAGCCGGCGCCGGCAGAACTCCGACGAACGCCGCGAAAGCGAGGTCATGGTTCCCGGAGAGAAAAACGTGGGATTGTTTTGGGTATTTTGAGGGAAGATTGATCAAGAAATCGATCACATCCCGAGTTTTGGGGCCTCTGTCGCAGTAATCGCCCAAGAAGATGATCAGGGCGGTCTCGAAATCAGATGGGTCGATTCGGGTTTCGAGATTGGACCAAAGATTTTGAAGCTTTGTGATGTATCCATGGATATCGCCTATGCAACACACCACTCTCTGCTTTGTGGGTTTTTGATTTTTCCCCAGAAAATTTTGGTTTTCCATTTTCTTTCAAGGACTGAATGAAAGGTAGTTGTGGTAGTTTTTGATTTGTATGTGGAATGGAAGTTGTTTGGAGATATGTTTGCAAACCAGTCCTCTAATTTTTGTATTATGTTTGCAAACCAGTCCTCTAATTTTTGTATTATGTTGAAAGGTTCACTTTCTTTTCTACAATTTTATTACCTACTAGGTGGTTGTATTCTAAAACTCTTAGGGATGTAAAAAAAAAAAATGTCAAATATTTTATGCAACTCATACAAAAAAGTTAAAGATTCCATTTTCTCTCTACTTTTTGCACATCTTTTCGTAAAAAGCCAAAAAATCATCCCAAACATACTAATTTTTTTTACATCATATTTTAGCCAAAAAATTACTAAAAAAGATTGTTCCCAAACGAGGCCTTATTCTTGCATAAATGACATAGGTGGCTTACAAGTGTTGTGTAAAATATTTGATAATAATGTTTTTAATATTTTTAACACTGTACGGATGTATTCTGCTACCATTTGAGCCTTGGAAAACAGAAAATGTTATTCTTACCAACCTGAATATTTTTATTTTTTATTTTTTATAATTTTAAAAAAATGTTATGAATCCTACTTAAGTATCCAAATTTATCTTGAATGGGAGTTCTGTGGTTGAGATTGAGTTTATGTAATGTGGAGTTTATGTGTAGAATAAATTTGAATTATAAGATGACAATTCTTAAAAATATATGAATAATTAAGTCTGAATTTGTAATATTATTATTAATTTTTACTTTTTTGTTCAAACACCAAAAAATGGAAACACACGGAAGGACCAACCACATAACATTCATAAGCAGGTTTCGTTGGGCATTTGGCCCCACATTGTGAATCCAACATGTTTAAAAAATGTAAAAAAACAACTGTTGTTAGTATTCAGAATATTTCCTGATACATTAAGAAGATTAAGAGGAGAGCAAGAAAGTTGCAACTGTACGATGAACAATTAAGGGACGTTAAATTTGATAATAAAGGTGTGGCGAGATTGCTTAATGGTATTGAGTTGGGTAATAAAATATATGATTGTCAATCAGACAAGATTGTGATTAAGGGTATAAAATTAATTGAGAATGTTCAATTGAGACAAGATGTTAAAGACGAAACAGTGGTCCACCACGTATTGTTTTTCGTCATAAGTGGTAATAGTCCGTCAGATTCTGTCCCTATACCTGACAAGATATTTATTGGAGTTGGCGAAGGTAATCCTGAGACTTGGATTGTTGATCCTGACTAGTCCGACAGGTTTCGGATGCTAAAGAAAATGAGATTCAAGCTCGTTGGTGGTAAGGATAAAGAGCACGTTTGTCACGGAATAGAAGTTGTGGACTGGTTCTTCCCAGTTGATATTTGGACGGACTTCAAAGATACGCTGTTGGGAAATGTTGGAAGTATTCAGAATGGTGCCATATATTTAGTGGCTGCTACTGTTAGTGGAAAATAATGCAAAATTACGTTAAGGAGTCAAATGTACTTTAAAACTGTTTAGAATTTTAATTTTATTTATTTTTATTTGTAATGTCCAGGTGAATGGAGGTGGACGATATAAAAACTGATGTTGTTGAAAGTGTTTTAACAAGTGATTTCTGAAAAATCTAGATATCCCCTAGATGTTGATTTGTGATTATGTATCAATTTTAAGCAGAGTATAACAATCCCAATCAAACAATCAAACAATCAAGACAAAGAGACACAACGATTTAACGTGGAAAAAACCACAATTGGACCCCTCCAACTGTGATCAAAAAACCAGGGATTGCCAAGAATTAAAACCTAACAATTTCAATTGTATTAAACTTGTTTTGCCTAATTTATTTTCTCAGTTAAGGTTGACATACAAACAAAAGAGTATTAAGATTGGTAAAATATTCTTTCCTTTGCGCATCCAATGCCAATGGGTTGGTCAGAGTAAATGTGTATGATAGGAGGTTAAATGGTAATGACAATCTGCAAGCGTATTTTATTTTTCCTGTGGATTGTCAATGTGAGTTAGTGTATTATAGGAATGATTGTTGTTTAATTAACGACAAACATGTGCTATGGATGGTGAAGTATCGACTTGAAAATTTGAATATTAAAAGGGAGATTACGTTTTGTAAAATGAAGGGGTATTTGAGGTATTCTATGAATGACATGCCAGAAGATTTCCAGATGAGGGCCCCATCTATTGTTGTGTTATCTAAAAAATATACTAATGATAATGTTGATGTTTGGCATTGTGCTCCAACCAAGGCCATTCCGATTCTGACCCGGACTATGTCTGTGGGTTTACTAGAGAGACGAAGAGATTTGTTGTTAGAAGGTCTTGGGAAAAGTGGTTTAGTTATTCATGAACGCAGAAGTCGTCTGAGTTTGTCTGAGATTGTTGAATGCAGAGGTGGTGATGGAACTAGTGATGTTGATTCTGGTCCGTCGATTTCGGAGGTTGGTGTTAAAAAAGAAGAAGGTGATCAAAGAGGATCAATTGTTATGGATCCTGCAAATTTTTTTAATGTTTTACAAAATGTAATAATGAGTGTAAAAAATAACAATACAAGATTAAGCAAATAATTACACAGTTGGAACTAATTCCTAGACTTTTCCACTTCACATGTGTACTCTGTTGGAGATTTCCTAAAAGCTTCAAAACTTTAATTATTTTTATTTATTATTATATTTTATTATTTATTTATTTCCTTTTATAGCCTTATTTATTTGAATTTTAAATTTGGTTTTGGTTTTGGTTTTATATCAAAAGGTGTGTCTGTTCCAAACAGATACCAAAGAGCCTATTTAAATAGGACTCTAATTGAGAAAAGAATTACAACGTACTCTGATCTCTCTCTCTCCTTCTTCTCTTTACAGTATTTTATATTTTATATTTTCTGGGCAATTGATACATTCTTGGCAAATTCTTCTGGTACAACTGTGCATTGTGTCAGATTCCCGTGGATTCTTGGGTTGTATCTTGGAGTCGTTTGTGATCGTTAGAACCTGCACGGAGGGAGCGCATAACGACTTTAGGACAGCGTCTTTGACGTGCCTCTCACAATCACACAGGCTACTTTCTGAATTCTTTCATCTTTTACTTATTTTGTTATATATTTGTATGTATAGTTTATATTGAATTGTGAAAACCTATTTAAAAAGAATCTGTTTTGCTTTCAATATTATTCTATAAAATTGATTTAAGTTAAATATTTTTTAAATTCCCACAGCAATCTAAAGTCATTAAATCTATAACATATTTAATCTTTTAATTATTTGTGTTTCATAATTGCTCTTGTTGGTATTGAACAAATCTGTTAATAAAAATAAATAATATAAAAAAAAAACAACAACAACGGAAGTTTTTGTTTCCCGGTTTTTGGTAATTTTTTTTTTTATTATTTTCAAAGTTTGATTCCATTGATTTGCATGAAATATACATAATTATTCAAAGTCAATTCGGAAGTATACGTAATTATTTGTGTTTTAAAATCTGTTTATTAAATTGCGTTTTTCCCTGGAAACAGGGTAACTTTGTTTTCAAACTTTGACTTGTTTTCAAACTTAGACTTATATTAATCAAGCAAGTTGTACAACTTGTTGTTATGTGTAGTTTTTATTTATTTATTTATTTTTTATATTAATTTATTCTTAGAAAGTTGTTGAGTAAAATCAAAATTTTTCACATAATAAATTATGTTGTTTAGATTCATGATATTTAATTAGTATTGTTCATGTTATAAATTATTGTGTTTAGATTTGATCTGTATAAAAATTTGTCACATTTTATTTATTTCTAAATTATTGGCAATTATTTTTCAATTTCAAATTTAATAACATTTGTGTTTGTTTCATTATTGTCTCACACAGATTAAGATACTCCTTGGCTCTCTCGTTCTTTAAATATTTAAAATGGCTAATTTAGAAGAAATTGTTAGTGTGAAACCTGAAAAATTTAATGGTAACAATTTTGAAAGTTGGCAAAAACAAACAAGATATTGGTTGACCGTGTTTGGTCTTATGTCTGCCATAGAAGATCAGGATTTTGTTGGATCTTGGCTATCACCCGAACAAATCGAATTTCATTGTTATAACAGGATCCTTAGTGTGTTATCTGACCATTTATATGATGTATATCAGTCAACCACCTCGACTGCAAAAGAACAATGGAAAACCTTAGAGGCCGAATATGGAACTGTAGATGCTGGTATTGATAGGTTCATTGTCTCTAATTTTAATGGTTATAAAATGAAAGATGAAATACTTGTAGGAGACCAAATTCATGAGTTTCAAGAACTACTTAGAAAAGTAAAAAAGAAAGGGACAACTTTTAGTGAGGAGTTTAAAGTGTCTTGCCTTATCGATAAATTACCTCCATCTTGGAATGACTTTGCTAAGCGTCTTAGGCATAAACAAGGAGATCTGTCATTAACTCAATTAATCAATACACTGAGGGTGGAAGAGAAACATAGATCAAATCTAGAAACTGGAAAAGAGAAAACGCCTAAGGTAAATGTGGTGGAGAATGCGAATAAGAATAGTTCCAACAATAACTTTCGACTTAAAGGTAAAATTTTCAAGAACAACCTTAAGTTTAAATCTAGAGGTCAAAATGGCAAACACCATAATAACAACTACCAAGCCAATGCTAATAATTTTAAAGGACAAAGGAATGGCAAGAGGTTGTGCTATGTATGTGGAAGAACCAATCATTATGCTAAGGATTGTTTTTTTAAGAAGATTGATGAGTATAAACCAAGGTTCAACAATAAGCAAAGAAATCAAGGTCATAATGCTCAAGTAAATATGGTTTTGGGAAAAGAAGAAATTGCCGGACCATCTTTTAGGTATAATCCTGAAATTAATTCTACTTTTGAATATCAAGATTGGTGGTTAGATTCTGGGGCTAATATGCATGTGTGTGTTGATTGTGATTATTTTAAAGCTTTCCAGAAATCAAGTGGAGGAAGTGTAACTTTGAGAAATGGATCAATTGCACCTATACTTGGCATTGGAGATATAGATTTGAAAATGACTTCTGGAAAAATCTTAA